ACACATTTTGTATGGAACAACTCTCTTCCCACCTCCTCTCTGTGGTTACCCCTTCACTGTGTGTCCTTCTTACCTGTGCATTCTTGTCCGTCTAGCTTTCCCTCTATGCAAATGCTGGCTTTCTAGTCCCTCAAAGTTGACTGTTCTAAGGTGGGCATCTCCCTGAGGTAGGATTCAGCTCATAGGCCTATTGTTTGGCTGAGAGCTAATCCAGGCCCAAAGGGGAACCTGGGGCCATAGTCTCAGGGTTCACCAGTTTCTATCTGACTAGTAATTCTGGTCATTTTTATGTTTTTGAAATTTGTTCCATATTTTTCCTCTGACTGACTCTATTCAGGATCTCCAATTTTATTCCCTTTCTGAGTGGTTGGCATTAGTAGCTGGGCACCATCTATTTCTTCTGGTCTTAAAGTTGTGTAGACTGAGATTCTCAGGATCCATTAGTCCATTGGACTAATTGTTTCCATATGTCTTTGATTTTCTTCCTTCTTCTTTGCTCAGAACGTGGAGAGACTAATAGTTGCATCTTAGATGGCTGTTCGTAAGTTTTTAAGACTGCAATTATAAAGTAGGGTGTAGAAAAATGTTTTTGTGTACTGTGTTGTGCCAATTAAGTTTGATGTCCCCTGAGACCATGGTCTCAAGCATACAGGCCTGTGACTCAAGATGATTGGTTGTGGCTAAGAAGCTACCCCAACCTTGTTCTCTGTTAGTTCTATAATGTATATGAATACTTTTATACCATGTACAGTTATGCTTGTAGGAATATCATCAGCCATACTTATCTATTGTTATTGTTGTTATTTGCCATTGAATTGGACCTGACTCATAGCAACCCCTCCTTGGGTGTCTGAGGCAGTGTCACTGTGGTAGTAGATTACCCAACTGTGGTCATGGGTATATTCTCATTTGCCTACCCACACCTGATCTTCTCACCTGTGTATGCATCCACCCTTAGGCTACTGTTTGTTGTTACTGATAATGCTTTATTGTGTATGCGATAGTATTTGCCTCTGTCGATAGTATTTGCCTCTGTCGATAGTATTTGCCTCTGTCGATAGTATTTGCCTCTGTCGTCTATACCCATTGTGCATCTCTCAGTGTCCTTCTTTTCCCTGTTATTGTGTTTGTCACACACTTTTGTTATGTTACCTTTCCCTTCACCCAAATCCACACATTTTTTTAAAAATTTTATTGTGGGAGGAGCTCTGGTAGTGTAGTGCCTAAGGCACTGGACTTCTAACCAGAGGGCTGGCAGTCCAAACCCACCAGCCACTCCTCAGAAGAAAAGTTGGGCAATCTACCTCCATAGTGATGTTGTTGTTGTTGTTATGTGCCGTGGAATTGGACCCAACTTATGGTGACCCCTCCTTGGGTTTCCGAGGCAGTAACACTATGCAAGTAGATCGCCCCATCTTCTTTCCGAAGAGTGGCTGGCGGGTTTGAACTGCTAGCCTTCTAGTTAGCAGTCAAGTGCCTTAGGCACTATGCTACCAGAGCTCCTTATAACAACAACAACAACAATTTTACTGTGATTTGGGTGAAAATTTACAGAGGAAATTCATCTTCCATACAGCAGTTCACATAACTTTTGTCTTATGATATTGACTGTAACCTCCCACAATGCAACAGCTCTCCTCCCACTTCCTCCCCATAGCTACCTCTTCCCTGTGTCCTTTTCTTCCATGCACTTCTGCCCCTGAGCTCTCTTCTTATGCTTACACAGCCCTTCTATTCTCCCATGATTGATCTCTCCAAGGAGTGTATCCACCTAATGTAAATGTTCACCTCATAT